GACATGACATTTGCCATAAGCCCACAACACTCAACTCTAGGTATAATTTAATTTTAAAAAATAATTGCATTAATAAAGCAAAGAAATTTTTTTTTTTACAGTATACTGAAAGAAAGGTGGTCACATTATGAGGTCTTAACCTTCACATTAAACTTAAAAGCCTAGCATGGTAATGACACAGAGTGATACCCCACAGATCATGGCTGAAACTCAATTTACATATATACATTTTTATGGCTTACCTTGGGCCACAATTTACAATCCCTGTCCTGGGTGCCAGTAGAAGCTGGGCACAAGGGACACACTCCAGAAACCTCAGAATACCCCACTTAGAGTTGCCTATCATCAACTTTAGAATCCAAGCAGATTTCCAACAGGGTTTCCAAAGAGAATTTGTCCAAAGAGAATAGGTCTGTTAACTGTGTGCCAGGATGAGCAGATAAGACAAAAAGAAATATGGAATAAATTTTACCTCGGAAGGTTTGAGGATAAATCTGATCCTACAAGCTCTGACTACTAAAATAAGAGCAATCATTTACAGGCATGTTCAAGGTGCCAGGCATCTGCTGGTTTTTTTTTTTTTTCTATGCATTATCTCAAAACATTCCTCTAACAACTCTATAAAGTCACTGCCTATTTTTTTCATTCAAGAAACTGAGAAGACCATGTATAAGATCACACAGGTAACTAGTGAATGAGCTTAAAACAGAACTTAGGGCTTCCAACAAAATGTGCCTAAACACTACAATATATCACTTTGTTTTTGGTGTAGGCAAAGGTTATCTGCCTTCCTTCCTGATTCTTTCCTGAACTACTTCTTTCTTCTTTCAAGCTCAAAGCATGAATATAAATAGCTAGTTGTCTCTGCCCCATGAGTCTTGTGGAAAATTCTTTACCACGAGAACTGGGCATTCGTGCCCAAGAAGCAAAGCAAATTTCCAGTTAAAAATAGAAACATCTGGCTCTATCACTGTCTGGTGGCATCTCACCTCAATTAAAGCTGGGTGGGTGGCAGCTATTAAAGGACCTTCATTAGCCAGACCACTCCTTAGGATGCTACCGAATGGTTTCCACTTTACTATTAGCTTAAATGTCTCCAGAATATTACGGCTTACTCTAAAGATTTCATGGTGTGGACATCATTTGTTGTACCAAAAAAAAAAATCTCGGTGCTTCCCCAAAACAACCAAAATGTTGATGGCTCTTTGTTCCCTGCACTCTCAAAACAAAAACAAAACACAACAGGTAGTACCATTTAAAACGGACAAATGCCAAATTCTCAGTCACCAAAGAAAATCTTCTCAAAATCCAGGTCCTTGGGGTTGTTTAGTTCTGAGCATCCTTCTGGTCTTTGCTTTTCTTATTTTTGCAGCTAAGTCATACAACTGCTCTTGGACTCATGTGTTCAATTATGTTATAACCTTTTATACATTTTGAATAAGTAGCATGTTTTCCTTGAGATTTTTGCAGTGTTTCTATTAATGTCTTCATGTGATATTTAGTAAACAGACACTAGAGTTTTAGTCACAATCGAACTAGAATTTTGAGAGATATTTTATATTCAGAAGATAATCTCGATGCTCACTGATATTTCAACTCAATTTCTCCTTCAATTAAAGTAGTATCTCAAAGGCAACACTTTGGTTGCCATTTTCTTAATGCAACAGAAATGCAGAGATCCTGTAGGAGAGAAAATAATGCAGTGCACCACATGTACTTGTGTGGCGATAAAATACAGGCGAAACGCCTAAGCGTTATAGTGAGCTAAGGCTCGTGAGGCAGGATGATATCACAGTGCCGTGGCTCTGCATCACACATGCTTGTAAGGAAAGCATATTCAAGTGTGAGTGTGATAGGGAAATAAATCCACTCCCTTATCTCCACTTCCTAGGACCACCCATTCCCCCCATTCACATGAAATCCTGACTTTTACTGCCATAGGGGAAAGTGATCCCCAATGGAAATGCAAAGAAAATTTAAAAATAACATTAGTCCTTGCTTTTGAAATTTCGAGGACTTATATTTCTGGATATTTAACAGTGGTTTAACACCTTTTCAACAGGCATTTGAAATATATTCTACTTTCAACTTTTAGACAGATTGTAGAACCTGAGCCATACATGGCATGTGGTTTCACTGCAAACCATTTCTCAGTGTTTCTGTGAACAGCAGGATGTATTTAAGAAAAAATTTAGACTATACAGATGAAAGTGTCGTCACTAGTAAACAAACAAAAACAACCAAGATGTCAAGTTTCCACCAGGTCTCCAATAAATCCAACCATAAAAAACTATCAATGCTACTAACGAGAATTTGGACAGCCTCCCCTGTCAAGCCTGTTTCTGCATCTGCGTCCACATGCTCCCCTCCTTCTGTTACCCAGGCTGCCCTGTCCTGGTACCCAGGCTGCCCTGTCCTGGATCCTATCTTAGTCCAGACTGTCCCCCCAGTGCCATTCTCCCTCAACTACTTACAGACGTCACCACACAGCTGCCTTCTCTTACTTGGGTCTCACTGAAATTTATCTGTCTATTGGATCATTCCCATCGGCATCCAAATATGCTATGATATCTCTCATCTTAAGAAAAAATATTATTTTATCTCCACATATCCCTCCAGTTCATACCCGATTTCACTGTTTCTCTTTATAGCAAAAAATCCTCTGAGAGTTGTCTCTATTCTCCATCTCCACGTCTTTCCTCAGAAGCCCACGATCCTTCCCTACCAGGTGTGTCTCTCCCCACCATATCACTGAGACTGCTCTTTCGAGGGAATCTTGTTACATCCAGTAGTTCGCAGGCCTCGTCTGTCTCAATCAATCATCAGCATTGGACATAACTAATCACTTCCTCCTTTCTTTGCCACCAGAACTTTCTCAGTTCTCTTCCTGACTCACTGACCTTCATTTCTTGTCTTCTTTGCTGAATCCTCTTTATCTCCTAACTATTCAATATCAAAATGACCTCTAACCTCTTGACATTTTCTCTTATTTATCTATAGCTACTTTTCTGTGACTTTTATATACAATCTACGTGTTGACCACTCCCAAATCCGTAACTCTACCCCAGTGCTTTCCAATAGAACTTTCTACGATGGCAATAATACACTAAAGTCCTGTGTTGTTCCACATGGTAGCCACAAGCCACGTGTGACTACTGAGCACTGGTATACTGGTGTGATTAAAGAACAAAACTTTACATTTATTTAAAATCTAAATTTAAATAACCATGTGTGGATAGTGGCTACGTATCAGGCAGTATAGTTGTAGATGAAACTCATTTTCTGACTTCCATGTTCATATATTCAACTGCCTACTCAGCATCTATACTGGAATATTTAAAAGGTGTATCAATTTCCAACACTGAGCTCATGGTTTTCCTCCCTGTTCTTCTCAATCTCATAAAAATGGCAACCCAATCCTTATAAGTGTTCCGGCCAAAATAAAAAGCTGGAGGCACCCTGATCTCCTCTCTTTTTCTCATGCTCCATAGCTAATCGATCAGGAAATGGTGCTATCTTTACTTTCAGTGTATCTCAAATCTGACCATGTCTCACTTTGTCT